TACTTACAAATGGCTCAAGTTTTGGGATTTAATTGAAAAATTTTACATAAAATAGTATTAACTTAAACAAATGCGGAACAAAACCCTGCTTAATAACAAAGGTGCTTTTTTCTTTTCTGGAAAAATTGAACAATTAAACCAGACCCTGCCATAGCCGCAGTCGTCGCAATTCTGTGTTCTACCTCGCATCAACGTCCAGGGAATGTGATGGTCATCATTTGGAGCTTGGAATAAGGAGGATGGGAACGAAGCGGGGCAGTCCGTCTCCACCTGACACTTCAACGACTTGACGAATAAGGGGTTACGATGGCTCGAGTAAGATCCTTTTTCCAACTGTTTTATAAGAAGAGAAATAAATAACTATCTTACCTCGTTGATTATGGCCATCATGATTGCTGCTTGGACTTCAGTAGGTGAAGCGTATCAATTAGGAAAGTAGCCGAGGCTGGAACCATTCGCAAGCAGCTGAGAAGCCTACTGCCACTGATCGCACCCACTTCATTCCCACAGTCCTTTCCTTTTTTGTAAGTCGCCACTGTTTGCTATGAGTCGTCTTATTATTGAAAGACAACCAATGACTCTTGGGATCCACCTACTAGGTACAAGCCGATACTCTCTGAGAATCGGCTGAAGGGAAGTCGTACTCGACACCGTAAGACCTTACTCCTACCATCGTATATAGCGAAAACTCATCCTTGGGAAGATCTTCCACTACAGGTTAGGGGGCACTGTTCCACTTCCTTCTCATCCTCCATTTTCCCTCGATGATGTCTCTACCAAGAGTTCAGAAGTACGTGGGAGTTGCCTGGGGTTTGGTTTGGTTGGCTCTCTCCACACTTTGCTTTTGCAGTAACAGCCGTTGCTTGAAGAATTTTGCGAGTGTTTGGTTTGCAGTATGAAGAACTACCAAAACTTCCCCTGCTACTTTCTTCTGCCTCATCACTTACCAACTTTTGCTGTGAATTGTGTTCGGTGGTTTTATGCACCACTTCCTGAAGGTGTTCTCCTCAATCGGCTGCAAAATGGCTTATCGCGTTGCATTTTTTTGAAGGAGAAGTTCTTTAGGTGCCCCGACGCTCTGTCTAGAATGCCTCGCATTCTTCCACCTTCCATCCTGAACAACTATTCCTACCAGTCCCTTACCCTGAAAGCATACAACTGCCCTACCAAGGATGTTGACTGCAATTCGAGGGAACTCTCAATGCCTTCAAAAGTTGTTACGGCACGACCCAATGCATCTTTTCACCGCTTGAATCAACAACTTACTGACCTCTGGAAGTGTCATTCATCTACAGCTACCCAGTCCTTGTTTCAATTAAGCAAAAGTGCTGAAGCAATTGTTCAAACCAACTAAGCTTTACCGACTGTTGCATAAGCTAGCAATTTATTTTGCATGATTTCAGGGCATACGGCTTTCGTTTGAGTGTACCACTTTAACTCACCCCATCATGATCTCGCTCACGCCAATCCCTCATAAAAGAAACCGCTGTTTTTGGCCCCTGAAATCCACAAATAGGCAGTTCTGTTGATGCTGTCATCATGACCGCTTTTCGACGTCAGTGTAATTTACTTCACTACTTGAGAGAGGGCAAACGCACTCCGTTGGCGGAACAAAACAACCCGAGAAGTCGGCAAATAGTGCACACTTCCACGATTTTTTTTACAATTATTCTCAACTTCTCCTCAAAGTACGTGGTATTCAAGTTCATGTGGTGATAGTAAATCAGTTTCGTCTGAGCCTGACTGCCAAGCCGAGTAAAAGATTTATCGCCTCGGAGTTGAGGTAGCTATAAATCTTGTGCGCCATTTGCAACGATGTGAAAAGCTCAGCTCCTTGTACCACACTCCGTGGGTATCGCTAGAAGAAATTATATGCGCCTGGAGGACAAATTCCCCTCCGTCGAGACATGAGCTGAGTAAGAGAAAAATCGGAGACTTCCACGAGCGGAATGAGAGGCTTGCAGGGATTGCCGATGCACACCTGTCCACAAGTTCAAGCGGTTTGAGACACACACTTGAAGGAGGACGAATGTGGAAGAACTGGATCCACCCGCGACCCGATTCACAGCCAAGCTAAATGCAATGGGGTACCCGAGCGGCCAGTCGAAGAGTACAAAGCCAAACAGTCAGGAGCCAGGCGCATTCTAGTAATCCGATAACACAAAACCTGTCCGGACAATAAAAGCCGCTCTAGAGTTGCTTTGTAAATGAAAAGCGAGAAACTGTTTCGTAAAATCATGACTTCAATTCGCACTACTAATATCAAATGAGTAAGGAGAGGTGCCAACTCCAGTTCCAAGGATAGGGTGGTCACCTCACGACGCACACCACCAGTTCCCAAACAGCCCCAACAAGAAAGACAAAACTTTCAAAATGTTGGTACAGAAAGGAGAGTAGGCGTTTTGTAATGAAAAGCTGTCAAAAGGCAATTCAGCGGCGATCACCACGAGGACGAGTTGGTTATGCTTAGGAGGTAAATTCCTGGAACTTGGCACGAAGCAAATTCTCGTAAATACTGTAGTCCTCATCTAAGAAGCAGCAGAATATAACGCGTTCAATCTGTGAAAATTAAAAAAAAAAAGGTGTCACCAGGAATCAGTTATCAGGAGCGTGAAACGACCAACACATGCGACGTCCAGCCCAGTGGTTTGTCAAGTCCACAAAGTAATTGACATGGGGAAACCCTACTTAATCCGAAAGATTACTTAAAAGCACTTGAAAAATGAGTCACAAGACACATGACGGACCTGAGCTATAAACAAAAGAGACTAAAATGAGGCTAAAGAAATACCCTTCCATCTGGCAATCCGGTACCCATTCATCCATCCCGTGTGCATCCAATAACCATCCCATATCCATTCGGCCGTCCATTTAT